TAGGATGCCTCAGGCCTGCTTTTGCTGATGAAGAATTCTATGTAAGAAGACTGTTTAATTACGAAGATAGCGATGGATACAACTCGGACTGGAAAGGTATTTTGTGCTTCACATTGGGTTGATTTACCATTTCAAATTGACAAACTCTTGGTGGGTGGAGTAAAATGGTTAGATGTTTTTCTTTAACCAGATATGATGCTTTTGATTTTTGGCATGAATTGGATATGTACGCACTAATTCAGCTGATGGAATCTAATAAATCTTGTTACTGTCCTAATTCCTAACCTAGTTATTCTTGTAACTGACATAACAAGTTATATACCTGTTGGCTATTTCAAGTTGACCTAAACTTAACTTTTTGTTTAGATGGAAAAAGTGTGAGCCTTAGTTCCGAAAGTGATCGTAGCTCAACTCTCTACAGGTTGGAGATCATGAGAATAGAGTTGTTCTCTGTATATGGTGTTCAGGCATGTTCTTTCTACTGCCATTTATGTAGCTTCTACCGTTTTAAGTGGACCAATTCTTTTAAGAATATGGCCTAATATGTTAAATTCTGAATTGTAAAGGTCCAGAAAGTTGGCTTATGTTTTATGCAGGCAATAGTATACAAGTATATGGCTTTTCCTTACAAACTTTTTAACAACTTTTTAACATCGTTTATCTAAAGTCTTCTTATATTATTTTGTGTTAATTTTCTGATATTTGCAGTCTACAATTAGCTTGCATGATTTTCAAGATGCAGAACCTGATGTTCTAGTAAACTCTACCTCAGAAATTGTAGAACGCTTCAGTGAAAGAGGTATTAGGTGCGATGTTGCTCTTAAAGCTTTATGCAAAAGGAAAGGACTTCATGTTGAGGTAACTAATAAATTATTTGTTTAACATAAGCTGTGTTGCAGCTGACTTATTATGTTTAATGTTCAATGCGCCTCCTTTATATGCTACAAGTTTGAATAAACTTTTTTTTTATTATACAGTTTGATTAACAGGGTTTATGCACAGAGTCAAATAGAAAGAAATTTTTGTGTCCAACATAGGAATTATGTGCTTATAAGTAGTTACCTACAAACTCATGTCTAAAGTTTTGGATGTTGTCTCCTATTTTGTGTTGTGAAGTCGTGTCCCTGACTGGGATTGTAAGGTTTAGTGTGTAAGGAATTAAGTGGTTGCCTTATATTATAAGCCTACAGAATTGACATCATCATGAGTTTGGACTTTTGATGAATCTTTTGGATCAAATATCCTGAGGTTTGCTCAGTTTATCCACTTTTTACACTATAAAAGGTGAAAGTTGACTGTCGAGTAAGAATTTCACAGCTCATTATTTTGACGATTTTGAATTTGGATGATTTAAAAAGGTCATGTTCTTGCTAATCATCCTTGTATGCTAAGAACTCAGTAGGGGCAGTAACTTGCTTACTAATTCTTTGTTCCATTGCCTGGCGCTAGTGGAACTTTGTTCTATTTACTCGGTAATGTGTATTGGGAGATCCTTATGGGTAGCCAGTCCTTACATAACTCGAGTCAGCTTTACTTAGCCCAAGCAATGCCCAAAAGTTCCATGTTTTTCTTAGTTCCCGTTGAAATTAGAGTTGAGGAATATGGTAGTGCTACCTGGAGGGTCAATAAGTTTTTAATTTTTATATCAAATTTTGGATCACTAATTCTAAAGACGTAAGACTTATTAGGGTGCTAAGAAGAAAAATAAACATCATTACAACAATCCTAAGGTTTCTATTCGTACATGAGGAAAACTTTGTTTAAATTTTTGTTGACTAGCAGTTAACGCTTACGCAACATGGTTGATAGGGACACCAGATGAAGAAGTTGACTGAGTATCAAACGTGGTTGACTGACTTACAGTTTACCAGACTTTTTCAAACAAACTAGTTTAGCAATCCAAAGCACATGTATTTGTTGAATACTATGTAGCAGTGATTGACAGAACCATCGATGAAGTTCTGTCTTCGATTATGAATCTTTCAGCTCCTCTTGGAGGAGCAGACTCTATAACCTTGGCTGTAAATCTGACTGATGCTCAGCATATTATTCTTCGGACCATTCATGAAGGAACTTGTGTGAGATAGTCTATTTCCTCATGATTTTAACTTTGCTTCCATTAGCCTCCTCATATAGGAAAGTAATTCGGAGATTTCTCACCTGACATGCTAGGAGAACCAAAATCCAAGGTACCAAAGAGGCAGTTGAGCAGTTAAGATGACTAATCACTTGTCTCTTACCAAACTGGATGTGCCCTTAGGTGAAGGCGGATGAAAGTTGGAAACTTTGTTCTTTTATTTTCTCTTCAACAAACTATCTTCTTGCCATAAATTTTTTTTCTATAGGTCTCTAGCAAGGGAGTCGAAGTCTTCTAGCCTCCAGATCAATGCGTCTGAGTTGTCCTTTTGATTACCTTTTGGTGAGGACCAAAGTCGACATGTTGGCCTGCATGTCAAGATTTCTGCAATAGCCGCCTAGCAGCAACTATGATAGATCGTTCTTCTGTTACCACAGGGGTGAACCAGAGTTTGATCCACGGGTTTCTAACCTCCTTGACTATTTTTAATTTAGATTCGGCTTCGTGTAATCCCTGCATTTGATTGACCATAACCTTACATTTTTTGTAGAATTCTCTAAAGTTCCGTTAATTTTTTAATTGGTGGACTAGGGTTTGGAGTTTAGAGATTTACAGTTAGTACCTCCATGGGTGGTCTGTAAAGCATATGAGGTTTCCTTTAGGGTACTGATTACACATAAGGAAAAGGCACTTTAGAGAACACTATTGCTTTAGCATCTGCGTAATAAATCCTATGTCTAGAGGCATAAGGCTGTCTGTTGAAATTCTATCACGTAAAGTGGTTTGAGTAAGATGTGTTTCCTGTTGGGCAATGAGCCCAGGTGGACCCACTACCACAACCAGCACCAATGCTCCCCAAATCTATTGAAATGCTGTATTAGTGCCTGAGATTCGACTCGCCTGTTCAAATAGTCATTGCTTTTTATTTATGATTGTATTTAATTTATAAAAAAATTCTTTTTAGTTTGTTACTACATTCAGCTTCAAATAATTTAATTTTCCTGGTCTTGAAATAACTCTCATAGGGAGCTCATTTAATCGGGGTTGACAGTCTTGGAATGGATGTTAGAGTCTTCTCAGGGTTGGAAGTGCAAACTCATCGTTTTCCCTTCAAAGTCCGGGTAAGCATTTTGAAAATAAAATGCATGCTATGTTCATAAAAATGGAGGCTATCCCATGACAAGAACCTTAGTTACATCTGTTATCTTGTCCGTTGATTTCTTTGCACACACCAAGTAGACATTGGAAATGCAATCTGCAGCACGCACAGATTTATTTGCTCTTGATCCTTTTCATTTTGTATGAGAAACAAATGACCATGCTTGATTTGCTTAAACGGTCATTTTGCCGGAGGCATGTTCTTATCTACGTGCATACATGTGCTTATCTGCATGCATGCATGTGATTTTTTCTTCAAAAAAGGTACAGAGAGAAGTGCATAAAATTAGTCGTGTATTGATAACTTGATACTGGCACACTGGTCAACTTAGTTTCACAGATAACTAAAGGATTTTATGTACTTGTGTATATGTAGGCCACATCCGAAGTTGCAGCTGAAAAACAGATTCAGCAACTTTTGTTCCCACGCTCTCGCCGCAAAAAGTTGAGTGCTCATAATGTTAGGGGCGTGGAGTCTTACTAATTTGCTCATTTGCGACACTGTGAAGGAATAAGTTCTCAAAATAAACTTCAGGCTGGAACAAAGGGGTATTCACTTATTTATTTTTTCTTTGTACGCTAGCTTTGATGTGTAACGCTCTTTCGTTTTTCTTTTTTTTCGAAGAAACTATAAGCTTGTACTAGCTTTGATAGGAGAGAATCTTCTTTCTGCTAGAATATGTCTGATGATAGAACAAAGAACATTATAAACGGTAGCCCCTTTGACCTGGAAACCCGGAACCAGTATGTTAGACAGGACGGAGCTCTGACGATGATCGGCTTAAATTTGCACCAGCAGGATTATGGGAACATGTAAGTAGCAGGTAGTTGAGATGACAGAATAAAATCTCCGGCGATGAAAACATCGGTGCAGTTTCATTGTCGTCGACCGAACTAATGGGAAAGCTTGTGATCCTAACGCAGTCTGTTTTGCTGATTTTTTTCTTGACTTTTAGTTAAGCTTTTCTTTCGTTGGTCGGTAAACTTTAGTTAAGCTGTAATGAGAAACCAGGTTGAGAATAAAGTAATTAAGAGCACTGCTGAGTAACCAAATTACTGTTACTATCGTGTTACTTACTAAATTGCTGTGTTAAACGGATTGCGGATGAACACCGACGCGACCTTGTATAGGTTTATATCACAAATGATCCTTGAAATCAATTCCCAGATGGTCTTGAAACTGGAGCAAAATGACTAGTTGACATTTCCAAAATAGTCTGAATTAGACAGTACATCGGCTTCTGCAATTGTTTGTCTTGTTTAAAAGTGTTTTTAAAATGGTTGAAAGTGTTTGATGAAAATAGTTTTCGAAACCAATTTTTAGTTAAAATGCATTGAATCTTGGGAAGCATATAACCGGAGTGTTTTGTAGGAAGTAGTGCTTTGAGAAATTTTTTTTTTTCTCAAAAAGTACTTTCAGATATTTTAAAAACACTTTTAAACGAGCCTTGTATGTTGTAGGCTAATGGTTTCTTACAATTGTTTCGATTTGTATAAAAAGTTTGAAATGAGAGTATCACTAGACAACGTGTTAATAGTATGACATACATAATGAATAATATTTGCGTCCCACTCTTAGTGAAACAACTACTTTCCACTTGTTTAGAATTTTTTATGTACATATGTACACCCTTTCATAACGAATTTTTTTCGTTCCACCCTTTTGTTCGGATTATAGCATATTTATAAAAACTTCTTTAAATCCAAATGATGGAACGATGGGGTTTCACTAAAGGTGTGATGCAATTATTATTTACACATAAAATTAACATTTGGTAAATTATTGATCACCTTCCTTCCAATGGCATTGTGACATTAAACAAGAAATTTTAATGCAGGCAGTACGAACACGCTTGGCGGTACGACTTCCTTGCCTTACAAGCTAATGATCAATTCGACACCATACGTCGAATGACCAGCTAAAACTTCCAGACTTGTTCGAATCCGCCTCTCGGTAATTTAGTATGGATTATCCTATCGTTTGTCAAAGAAAGAAAAAAAATTTATACATTTACAATTTTCAACCCTCAAACATCCATTGTTCAAGTTTTTGTTTAAATAGCAATGCAATGAAGCCAACATTACTTCCTTAACCGCGGCGGTCGCCAGTCGTCTCTTGTCACCGATGTTGATATAGCCTCTTGAGTTTAGAGTAAGAAAACTTTTCTTCATGATTTCCTCCCTTGTACATATTTTCCTATGCTCTTGTTGTCAGCTACTTCCCTTTCTGTACTGCTACCAGTAACATGTTTCATGCCTGCTGCTATCCCCAGATTTTGAGGTCCCGGCCCCTGTTCCTCGACCTACTGGACCAGCTTCCTCGTCAAAATGTTTGCTTTGCACTGCATCTTCATCCGCAACATCAGCACAGCGTTGATCCTCTTCTTCACCCCTGTAGCAAATGTAGAGGACAATGCATACATTAGTCTGCTAGCATAAGAGGGAGGAAATAAATACTTGTGCACATCAGAAGACACGAATCAGAGCACCGCACAAGTGGCAAGGAACAATAAGTGTTTTTATTGACGAGCTGACGGCATTAATTCGCATATTACAACATCCTTTCACAAAACTCATTACAGCAGTTACTTCCTAGATGAATTCTGTAAGCAGTTGTAATTATGTAAACAAGTGAGGTAGGCCTGTCAAGACAAAGAAACTGAAAAGAGAACCAAAATTACATACCCTGAATAAATAACAAGCCCAACACAAACGCCAGCAAAGGCCACGAAGTACATCCAATCAACCTGAGACAATTCTTGGCTTAGAAAGGCAATTTCACATTCTAATATAAAGAAAGTACAGATGACTGCAAAGTTTCATGATAAAAAATGGAGATGGCAATACAATTAATTTACAGACCTTCTCATGGTATGCAAAAATGCGAATTAAGACTGCCCACATGTCTGAGGTCAGCAACGAGAGGTTTAACATTGTGGATCCATTAGCCTGCAAGGATAAACAAAATTTATTACACAAAGCTCTATACCATACGGTACGTGCCAAATTAAAATTCATTTACTTTTCTATGTTTTGTATGGAAAACTTGATCCCATGATCTAACCTAAAACAACCATCTCTTAAACTGCCAAAGAAATATGCAGGGCAGATAATCAGCAAGGATGCGGTTGATGCTACACGAACAAGTCTTTTCATACATTCAATTGGACAATGTTATGATGTAAAACTAGACTATTAAGGGAACAGGTTACTGGGTTCATACGTCACATAGAAAGTGGACGTAAATGCTACCAAACTGAGATTTCATAACTTGCAAATGAATTTTCACATGACTCGCAAAACATTAAAGGATTAATGCACACTAAGCTTCTGACTACTCGTCAAGTCATTAAATATCAATTGTTTGAAACATCATACCTTCAGTAAGACTGGGACAAATGAGTAAAATAGGAACATAGCCACTGAAAATCCAACAAAAGGAAGTACCTGTAATTACATGGACAAGAGACCGTCAAAATGCAAGCACAACTAAATTTTAAGGTGATGGAAAATTCGTCAACTATTAGTATTCTCCCTCAGGAAGAAATTCTTCTGTACATGGTTCATTGATCTACTATGAACATTCATTCAAGTTGTATTGTCTAGATCTGATATCAGAACCTTTCCTATGTGTTATTGGTAGTCTAAGAAGCCTACAAAGCCCTCAAAAAGCCCAAGGATGGCTCATACCAAATCCATAGATTCCATCAACGGGGCCAATTTTACTAGGTCAGATCAAAATGATTTAACCAGTGGAGGACAAATGGACAATGCATAATGTCTCCTGCACTATCGACTTCGAGAACCAGCTTGTGATAATCCAAGCTAACCATACCTGTCCAGATCAGCTGATTAATCCCCACCTTATGGCTGGGGATAGACCACGAACCAAGACACTGGGCCATGTGCCCCCTCCTGAAAAAGGTGAATGTACAGTAACATCACAGGAGTCAGAGTTGTGTCAGAAGACTCCGGTGTACTCCTGATACCCCATACACACACTGCCCTACCTATTCTGCCTCTGCATAAATTGGGTTCAAGCTAATACAGTTTGCCTATCATAAATACTCTACAAAAAGTCCAAACATCAGCTAGACTAACTCGGCCATCAATGCCAATTTAGCACACCCCGATATCCCCTACTGCAACAACCTTTTCCCTCTATGTGTTCACGCAGGTGATCAATCCTAGATGCTCACTTCGTAAATGAAGACATTTGACCACGAGAGATTGGCACCAACAATTTCCAGGTTGTTCCATATAATTTGTTGGTTAATACCAAAAATAATCAACTGTAACCATTAGTTTATTATTCGTATGAAAAGAAGAAATAACTCAGCTCTCCTTTATAGATCAATCAAATTACCTATTTGGGAACCAAAAAGCAAAAATGTCTTAAATGTGATGTAGCATGTTCAATTTGACTCTCTGTATCCAACTGATTTAACAATAAAAATGGCAGGAATATTTTTGTTTCGATATTTCAAAGGAATCAAATTCTTGCTGCTGATGTGCAGATGTGCAGATGTGCACTGTAGCTATGAGCAAGTTTGAATTGTTCAATCGAGAGAGAGAGAGAGAGAGATAGATAGAGAGAGAGAGAGAGAGAGAGAGAGAGAGACATACTGCCCCAGACGACCAGTGAATGGATTTGAGCTCATGGCGCTCCAGTATGCTCCTATAGGAATCATTAAGGGTTACAACATGATAATAGAATCACATGTATAAAACACTTAACACCACTTTGCACATGATTAACTTCTTTGTATTATCTATTATGACATTTAAAGCACAATTTGAAGGAAATTAAGGTGTAAGTAATTCATTTGAAACTGCATGTATAGATGATCAAACAAAACTCCACATAAGATCCAGCAATAGTATCCCCTTTAAAAAAAATGCACATAATCAACTAAAAAACAATCACACAAGTCCACACGTTTACTAAGAAGTCATAATTCTTGTAAATATTGATTGCCTACATCCAAAACCAAAGGATACATTTGGATAGCACTGACGAAGGCACCAAACAAGCCCAGCATGGACATAAGTTCAACCCTGTCGGCATTCTTTACTAGAAACTCCTGCATAAGAAAAGAGAATCAAGTAATTTGCAAATGCCAAGTAGCATCTATGAAGACTTTCCCCGTGCTAAACGTTTGTTTACTAGATATCCCACATTATCTATGATAATGGAAACAGGCATAAGCTATGTTAATAACAAGAAATATTTGGCTACTCCTAAAACCCAGAAAGATTGTGGATTTACTTACCTCACTGACATTACTGACAGCATACAGCGTAGCACCAGCAATTACTAGGGCATCTCCTACACTGGGCTTGCTCCCTCCTACAAGTCATAACAGTGCATATAACATCAGAAAACCACTCAACAAACATATGCAGGATAATTTACCCCAACCTAATTATATATGGTTAAAAGAATTTAACAAACAAAACCAAGATAACTGGAAAAAGCTACATTTGACCAGACATATGTTGTTTACCTGCTCGATCACCTGCATGAACATCTGAAAAAACAACCATGACTAGCCCAGCAACACAAACCACCACACCAGTTATCTTCGCGAATCTATATTTTGTTTTTAAGAAAAGCCAAGTAAGAAGCATAACGCATGGGATAGACCAACAATCCAGCAGCATTACGCTTGTTATAGATGTGTATTGATAAGCCTTCACCACTGCAGAACAAATGATATCAGTTATCAAATATGAAACTGTTGTAGGAAACCAATTTTTATTCAAATTTACTCCTAGAAATATCCAGCACACATACTCTACTTATAACTTGAAAGTAAAACTTAAGTGATGGCAGTTGTTCACAGTTTTTTTATTTTTATTTTTTAATTTTTTATCAAGCTTCACAGTTTCTTTATTCAAGAATCAATAAGCAGAATACATCTTAGGATAGACTACACTGTAGCTGTAGTTCTAATTCGATGGTTGCATTGGTACTTGTTGTTTACATGCTGCTGTTTTGGTTTCCAGATCCTTCACGCGTCAATTTCTTCATTTTTCAAGTTTTGTGTAAAATGGAAGCCTGTGCAGTGGCCAAAGCTAGGAATTCTTCTTCTTTTTCTCTTTCTTTCTTTGTGGGGTTGAGGCCAAGATTTGATAATAAATTCATAATATAGTTAAGTCTCCAATGTAAGGAACAAATCTTCAAAATTCCGTAAGTTGCAAACATCAGTCCAGTTTAAAAAAATAAAACCAAAGTATACGCTCAGTCTACAAAATAAAATACGCACCTAGAAAATTTGCCTCCACGTCCACTATTCCCAGAAGCACATAGTAATACCATTTAGCCTGCACAAATTCCGAAGGGAGATGAGAGAACAAGTCTTTAGAAACTTTTTTTTAATGATTTATGAACAAGTTAGTTGATTACTTCGTAGTTATGCCGTAAAAGAACCACTTAAAGGTTCATTACTTTAGTCTTTTTAGCCAGCTAAATTAGCTCTTTCTTAAACTAAACCAATAACATCAGTGTTAAGATCAAAAGCCACAACCAATTGACAGAAAGCACAATCATAACATCCACCAACCAAAATCAGTCAATCTCTCATTTGTGATCAATCAAAGGCACCTCCCACAAGGAAACACACATTTTTAATATGCTTTAGATGTTTCATTTTGGACAATCCATATACATGGATCATCTCACCATGGTGGCAGGTTCTATTTTTTTGCCAGACCAAGGGCAGGTTCTATCACTTCCTTTTTTTTTTTTTTTTTTTTTTTAGTAATTTTGTTGATTACCAAGAACCAACATTTGGTTAACCACACATGTACAATCCAAAAATCACTAATTTAACAGAACCCCCTAGGGTCACAGTTCCAGGGTCTAACAAATGCCCTTTATATGTCATCATGATTGCACTGATCCTCCGAGTCTGCCGTTTAACAACATGCTACTAATCTATATAACAAATTCTCAAAACACTAAAACTTAGCTAGATGTAGATGTCTAAAAACCAAATTGTATCACATAAAGCGAAAAGGAAATCATATCTACACAAAGAAAAAAGGTAGTCTTATAGAGGGACAAAAAAAATGACCTTAAGTGGCTTCCTTCGGTAAAGCATGATACCTCCATATACAATTGCCAAGAGCACATAGTTCAGAAAAGACTGTGAAGTAGGAACATTAATTCCTGCCAAAAATAAAAACATTAAACGAATGATTAAATAATAATCCTTTTAAAAAGACCTTGCATTTTGAATGAACAAGGAATACAAGAAACAATTTAGTTAAAAGAAGACTACATGACGCGGCAACCTTATATGAATCACAATATGAAGAGTTTCAGTGGAATTTGAAAAGAGGACTATCGACTTAGCCTTGGAGATTGTGGCCAACAAAACGAGAGATAATTGGTGAATGTATAAATAGTTACAATCTCCAATTGGGCTTGTACTGTAAAAGTGGACCTCCCAAATATATACTTACATCCAACAAAACTTACTTGCAGGTTTTGGCGTCCGGTAATTAAACCTCAAAAAACCAAATTTAGAAGCATAATCACCACACCAATCGAACAGCATATATTAAATAACAGATGACAGTCAATGTTTCAGAAAATGCAGAAACAATATAAAAAGAAGGACGACTCCAAGCCAACGAGCCTCTCCGCTTTGCGAGGGTCGGGGAAAATGCAGAAACGATATAATTTCATAATATGGACCTTCCCTTTACTCGTCAGCAATCAATCACGGATTATATTGTTCTTTGCAGTTGTTAAATACCCAACTACTTACTCGCATTGAAATAAACATACATAGACGTGGAAAATAAGAAAAATCGAACCTTTTTTGGCAAGCTCGGATGATGAAAAGCCTGTAGAAGTGATCAAAAGCGAGAGAAACTGGCCCAACCCAAGACCCACCAGTGTCTTCTTTACCCAAAAATCTTTAAACCTCATCATATTTGCCGTCAATCCGAGAAAAACCCAAATTCAAAGGCTTTACAAGAACCCAACACACTGACGAGCTAAATGTGTCGAACAGTAGAGTGAAAAAGCTAAAAACTCAGAGAGTCAGAGACCCATTTGCAGAAGCTCCACCCTTTTGAGTGTAAATGGCGTTTAAAGGATGACAATTTACTGAATTTCGAAAACCCAAATACTAATGGTGGATTTTGTGTTTGCGTACGACTCAAGAACGCAATGGGAAGGGGCCTTGAGCCTTGGGGAAAAACGAAAGATAATACAATGAATATGGATGGACGAAAGGGACTGTGAAATCGAGGTTTTACCCGAATCACAGAGTGAACGGACGGCTCAGCTGAGTGAACCAAATTCTACACGACACTTCTGACGGTTATGTTTCAGAGCATCTCCAAACGTCAAAATGTACACATCATTAAAAAGGTAAAAACAATATTTTTCAACCAAAAAGTTAAATTTGACTTGGCATCATGTAAATCAACAACTCTCATTCTTACTGTTAAAATTGATCGCATTTTTATTTTTTTGATTGATTATATTAATCTTATTTTTGTTTTAAAACATTTATTATAATAGTTATAAGATAATAGTTTAATTTGACAAATTGAGTGAAGTGAAATATTTTAGAAAATATTAAAGTATCACATAGACTGTCAAATTAGAAATATTCTCAGTCATTGAATTTTGGAGAATATCTAACAATTTTTTGTTCATAGACAACTTGTTAATTTAATTGCTTCTATTGATTGACTGGACCAACTTCATTTTAGAGATGTTTTTTTACAGATTGATTTATAACATGGATGATTTTGATAATAAGCACAAAATTTTGCAAATCGTTCACAAAGTGTTCGAAGAATAATTCCTTCACATTTTTTGTGGAGTTAAGCAACGTAAATTATGGGGTTTTTTTTTTTAAATACAATTACACTATGATGAGGAAATTTGCGCAAGCCACTCAATCAGACAATTATAATAACTTAGTATTGAACTCGCTATGAAAGTCGATCATAAAACTACCCGCTTAATCACCTACAAATTAAAAAGAATACTATTATATTATAGTGATTAAGTGACAAAATCAATTACTGTTTTATTAAAAACAAAGATAAATTACACTAAAGAGTGAGGGGAATAAATTAATCCAACTCGTCATTTGCAAAAATATAAACTTAAAATATCACTCTTATAAATAAAAAGAAATACAATTACGTGTACTAAATGACAAATAAAATTATAGTTAAGGTCTAACAACATTTTGACAAATTAATTGATGTAGACTAAGGAGTAAGGAATATATAATAAATTTAATCATTTCTTTCATGACAAAAATAATAGTTTCCAACTATTTAATGATGTAATCATGAATTTATATGTATATAAAAAGAAAGCATGCATTATGAAACTTGTGGGGCACCCTATAGGGTAGATGACTAGAGGCAAAGGCTACTTTTGACCCAGAAAATGCGGTGCAGTTGGTCTACGGCTGGCTGTGGTCCAAAGTGGGGCATAAAGTAAAACACAAGGAGAAAAGAAGGGACACAAGGCCTCGTTTCATTTTATGCGTTGGAGTTGGATGTTTGACTGCATTTCCAAAAGCACAACACTAGGCTTGACTCATACAAGTAAACCTGCTCTCTCATTCTCTCATGCCCCGATTATGAGATATGTTCAGGATCAACACGTAACTTTAGAATGTTGAACACCTGTCAACCTACAAAATTGCCCTTTGAACAGTGAGAATGGTGCACCAGTAAAGCAAAAAGCCGAACAACTATGAAGTTCGTGTGAGTGACAGTAATACAATGTATGTGATTGAAAAGTCAATCAATCTCATTTATAAGACATTTTCCCAATCCATTTTCATAATCCTTTTCATATATAAAATATCTTCACTAACAAAACTCGATTGAATCCTCACTGATTTTCAATCTACTTTCCCTTCAATATATATATATATATATATATATATATATTAAAATAATAAGATTAGCAGACTCACAATGTTTCACATTCCAAACGCATTCTAGATGCACAAATCAAGAAGAGCTAACACAAAATATGATGGAAAAAAATACACAAGAGCTAACACGTATCACAACATTATGCATTCTAGATGCACTCATAAAATATGATAGAACTGACACACAAGATACGAAGTAGGATTCCAAACTCACTTAATGGAATCCATTGGATGAACGTTCCAAATGAACTCAGTGAAACTGAACATAATGTCAAGACGCACTCAATGGAACCTAACAAAGTGTAGGATCCATGTATGAAATTAAAGCCCAATCGTGTTGCAGCTCTGGCCGAAGCCATGCTGTTTAGACGCCTCCTTAGCCCCATCCCCTTCCCATTTATTTTGGTTTTTTATACTACTTGTAGGGGCTTGTGTTTGTGGTCGGGATCCGTTGGCTCTCCTATGGTGTGGCGGCCTTGGTTGCATGTTGAATTGTTAGAGCATTTCCTTTGTAGTAAGGCTGTCTTGGGCTATAGGCAATGTAATCTTCTTTGTGAATAGTAATTGCATGTAGTGAATAGTAACTGACCAAGTGTATCTCGACCTCTATACTAAATAACCCAGACAATTCGTATTAAAATAGTTTTTTTAATACAATGATAAAAAATAATCTTATTTTTAATTTAGGATAATAATAAAAGATTTGTTGAAAGTATTTGAAAATATTAAAATGTGGTGTAAGATGGAAGAACATGGTTGGTTATTTATAGAAAAAAATAATAATTTTTGTATATTTATTGTATTTTTGTATATTTTGTAATTTTTTCGTATTTTTAATTATTTTAGGGTGATTAAGGAGCCAATCCCCTAGAGGAGTAAGCCACGGTGGAACTACTCTTATGCACTGGGATATCTTCATCGAATACAACATGGAGTTGATTATTTTCAAGTGGCTACCCTTATGGTTGCTAACGCGATGATGGCGGCGACAGCGATCAGCCTTTGCAGGTTGAAGATTAGGATTTCCTTTTTCATTTTCTGGCTTTTTGTTGAATGGGCTTTGGTTAATGTAATTGTATTGGGCTTTTCTCATTAAAAGAAATTTCTTCTTTGTTCTTCGACATAATTTGTAGCGAACTTGTTATTTATGTGAGCGAAAATTAAGATCTTTCACTTACTAATAGAAACAAATATCACTATTGCAATACTGGTAAATAGCAATGACTATTTTCAAGGGAAGTAGACCAGTATTTTTTTTGTTTTCATTCAGAAATAGTTGGGTTTTTTTCTTTGAAAAGAAAAATAAACAATTGGTTGTTGAGCATCACATTTTCGTCTTCTTGAACACCACCAACCATTGGTGCATCCAGGGATAATCCCCGCCCGCCCGGGGTGGTGGGGTTGTCCTAATGTAAGTGATCTAAGTTTGTTTAAACGCATCCTCTCAAGCGTCGTTGGGATATGCGGGAATAAGTATTTTATTTAACTCTTATTCAAAAGATCTTCAAAAAACCTTCAATGGCATTTTTCGAAGACCACCCTAATCCGAATGTGCATCTGCTCTTACCACCAAGTATAGTTGTATTCTGTTCCTTTTTTTATCACCTCGAATAATAAGGCAACAAAATAACGTGCCCCAAAAGGACAATTATAGTGGACAAAAAATACATAAACAATTATAGAGTCCTTGTAAAAAAATATGCTAAGGAGACAATTATACCTCACTTTTTTGGCACAATTTTTATAATGTTGACACATAATTGTGCTAAAAACATAAGGCGACGGAGAGTCCACAGAAACTCTCTATTAGAGAGTTCTATTTTAAGAGTCTCGTTAGCATTTCTCAACAAAAAAAAAAAACTACAGATTTCATGGCACTAAAATAAAGTATAAACATAAATGAGCATGAAGTAGCGGTACCGTCAAACCTACTTCATTTAATTAAGAAGATTATATAGAACATACGGCGGAGCTGAGAAAAACTCAGTCTCCAACGATCCAATTCTGAAAAATAGTGAACAAATGTCTTAATCCAACTATTGGTTTTGCCATCCCATTCCCAGATTGTTCGAGGTTTATATGCTCGTATCCAAAAATCTGATCCCAAAAATAATGGCAACATGTGGCAAAGAATTGCAAGGATACAACCCAATATATGAAGCATGAGAGGATCATCACTTAGAAATGGGATTCTAGAGTTCTCATATTTCCGATCTTTATACATGGATATGTACAAAAAAATTCGCTAAATACATGAAAAAGTCTATTTCTATGTCAAACATCATTAAAAATTAATACCAAAGGAAGAAATATATATAAACATTATTGAAATATTATGAGTATCTTGTTTTTAGACCAAATGTACCAATTAAGTATACATAATCCAATCAACCAATTCCTTTTCAATTGATAAAATAGCTAACTCATTCAATATTTCTTGTGACATAGTTGATTGGAGATAAGATTTGATCAACTTATTTTGATAAACTTCTTTTTGAAGAGGCAATGGTAACTGATATGATTAACAAAATTCTATAAGCAAATACTCAAGGCTCAAAGTCCGTATACTTCTTATTTGATTAGACAAAGTTTGTAATATTAGTTTAGATAGATATATATATATATATAATATATATATATAAAATTCGGGGGCCCTAGGCAGCCCTGCCAAGCGTTAGGGTTGGTTTGGTATTGTTGAGATTTGAAAAAAAACTGCATCTACCGTGTTGTGAAAATAAGCAACTGAAATAAAGCAGCAGTGTTTGGTAAACTTTTTTGTAAAAGTGCTTTTGGAAAAAAAGTAATATTATAGTGTTTGATAAAATTTTATGTAAAACAGATGTGAAAAAAACTTGGTTTTTCAAAGCTGGGTTTTGCAGCTTTGTGTTTTTGGCTTTTTTTTTTTATCTAAAACTGTAAAAAAAATTGAAGCTGAATGTTTACCGAACATAAAAAAGCTAGAGCTTTTTTTTTATAACCAATTTTTTCAGAATTATACCAAACTAGGGCTTAATGGGCCGGGCTCATTAGAACGAGTGGCAGTTTTGAAATATCACGACCATCTCTCAGTCTCCGTCGTTGTCTGATTTTCCTCCTAATCGGAGAAGAAGGGCTACCAAATGCCCGTTGTACGTCGTCGTTTTGTCGAAACCTTGGTCCTTCGAATTCGTGGTTTCTGCTTCTTCCCGGCGCTCCTCACGCGTATGGCAGCCAGAGCGCGCGGCGCTCTCGATTGGTTCCATGGTCTGATCTTCCGCGAATCGCAATCCGACTGTGGCGGTTGCGTCGGCGCAAAACCAATCGGCAAACGTGGATCTCTTTGATGCGTATTTCCGAAGCGCCGGTTTGGACTGCGATGATCGGATTAGTGGCAATGAAGCCGTCGCTTTCTTCCAGGGCTCCGGTCTCCCCAAACAGGTCCTTGCGCAGGTACTTTCACTCTCTATATATGCATATGCTTGTGTGTGTGTGTGTAAGTGGATGTATATTGTAGTGTGTATGATTATATTTGTGTAATTATAGTGGTTGATCGGGATTTTATGTTGGTGGAAATGTGTTCCAAATCAGATTGATTTTGAATTTTTAATCTAATTGTAGTTGAAGTGGTTAATGTGGAGCTCGGGATGTTGTAATTTTCTGATTTAAACTGAGATTTTTATTTCGTGTTAGTATAAATGTGGAATTGATGTTCAAATGGTAGAAAATAAGTAGATGAAAGAGAAATGTCGCATTATTTGTAATTGGGAGTAATTTTTTACCGGCCAATTGACATACAAACATCCATAAATACTTTTAAATTGAGTCATGTGTGAATGTGCAATCTTGATTGATAGAATGACTACCCATCCATCATGCCACATTATCTTGAAAGAGAACATGACGATATTGCATATGACATTTCGAGCTGATAGTGCAGGCATGAACACTGTCCATGGTTACAGTTATGCGCCTATATAGTATGACCACGAACATAACTTTTGGAAGCTATAAGTTCCCCTACTCTTTAACTTTATGATCTTGTTTACATCTGTCAGTGGTTTTAAAAACGGCTTTTTAACCGCTGTTCAACCAATGTTCCACTTATAATAACTTTGCATAAAATCTTCCATTGGCTCGGAGAACACTGAATTCCATTGGAGGGCAGGGAGAAACTCGAGTGGTGAGTGTAGATCTTGAACCGCTGTTCCGTGTAATTTTAAGCACCGCAAATCTTCCATTGGCTCCAAGATCTCTGGGAAGTTTTCAACATTGGAGCACGAAGAGTGATCAAGTTCCTCGAGATATTTCAACTTACAAATGCTCAACATAATAGTTCAAGTATTATGTTGCAACCCCATCTTAACCAAGGCAGAATTTTCCTCCTGGCAACGTACTTATCTCATCAGCCATTGTGCCAGTATTTGTTGGGACCCAGTCTTCAGCTAGCCCAAGTACCCATGTTGGTAGCCAGCCTCAGCAGGCCCAGTCATTTGCAAAAGCAAACCAGCAGGTCTCCGACTAGTGCTACTGGAGTTTCATCCGGAGCTGGGAACTCTGCTTCTAGTCAGTCTCATTTGTCATGGCCTAGGATGACTCAAACTGATGTTCAGAAGTACACCAGTATTTTTGTGAAACGTGACACACACAGAGATGGGAAAATCACTGATGCACAAGCCCGCGACCTATTTCTGAAATGGGACGACTAAGAGGTAGTACTATTTTCTTTGTATTCATCTATTGGCTTGTGTTTTACAGGCACATATGCCATGTGGTTATTGAAGCTCTTTTCTTCTGTTTGTTTCTCATCTTGTTAGCTGTTAATGGAACTGATGCATCTTTGCAAAACTTGTACTATCCCTATCCCGGAGTTACAGTTGTTCATTTTTCCTCTTTTGGGTGGTGGATGATTGACAATGTTTTAGTTGGTGGCATTTAGCTTGAATTCCTGAACATAACAGGCTAGATCAAGCATATTTTTCTGCGAGATGCTTTGCTGCTGGATGTTCATCCTTTGCATAATGTGTTCGTATTTTGATGTAAAAACTTACGTATGCCATAGGTATTTTGTAGATATAAAATTTTATTTGTAATTGGGAGTAATTTTTTGCTGGCCAATTGACATAGAAACATCCATAAATACAATTAAATTGTGTCATGTCAGAATGTCCAACCTTGATTAATAGAACGACTACCCATCCTTCCATCCAGCATGCCTGACCGTAGAATCGATGATCCACTATCAAAAAAATCGACCGGTGGCTTGGAGTCCCAATGTCCATATTGGAGCTCAAGGGGAAACTCGATTGATGAGTGTAGCTCTTGTGCCACTGTTTCACGTAATTTTGAGTATTGCAAATCTTCCGTTGGCTCCAAGATCTCTGGGAAGTTTTCAAGTTTCGAGCATCCATAGAGATTGAGTTCCTTGAGATATTTCAACTTGCAAATGCTCCTTGGGATACTTGAAAGCCTTTTGCAACATAATAGTCCAAGTATTTTGAGAGCAGGGAGAAACTCGATTGATGAGGGTAGCTCTTGAACTGCCGTTCTACTTAAATTTAAGAACTTCAAATGTTTCATTGGCTCCAAAATTTCTGGGAAGTTTTCAAGCTTGGAGCACCAAGAGAGATCGAGTTCTTCGAGATATTTCAACTTACAAATGCTCTTTGGAATACTTGAAAGGTTTTTGCAAAATTGTAGTTTAAGTATTTTGAGAGCAGGGAGAAATTCGATTGGTGAGTGTAGCTCTTGAACTGCTGTTCCACTTAAATTTAAAGACTCCAAATGTTCCATTGGCTCCAAGATCTTTGGAAAGTTTTTAAGTTTAAAGCAGCTGGAGAGATCGAGTTCCTTGAGATATTTCAACTTACAAATGTTGGTTGGTAGACTCACAAGTCTATACTTGTGAGCCAATGATAATTTAGTTATATCCCTGGGAAGCTCCGAAAACTCAGCAAGAGATTTGCAACCATCTAGATTAAAAGAACCAGAGACTTTCAGCTTACACATGTTGCTTGGAAGTTTCTCAAGGTCTTCACAATACCTTATATCCAAGTGAGAAATTTTTTCGTGAGACCAAATTGATTGGGGCAACTCCTTTATACCACTGCCCAATAAATCTAAGTCTTTAATATTTCTTGGCATCTCTGGAAGATACTTGAGACTTCGGCAGTGTTGAAGACGAAGATGAGTAAGCCTGTCAAGATCTTGAAAATACCAAGGAATTTCAACCAAACGTGAACAGCGAGAGAGATCTATGTTCACAATTTTTACACTCCCAGAGAGATTTGGAACTTCAGTTAGATTTGAAGATTCAGAGAGATCGAGCACTTGTAAGTTGACAAGTCTCTGTAACAAGAGTAGAGAGAAATATCAAGAATTAATACAATTTCTACACTTAATTTTATACAAGAATTAGAATAGGCATATAATATACCTGGTCTTCTTTCCAGAACTTCTTAACTCGGCTCCCTGGCATATGAAGCTCAACCAGATTTTCCGGTGAAAATTTTGACGGCAAAGATTCCAGTTGATATTTAAACCAATAAAGGTAACGAAGAGAATCAGGAAGGTCTAGAGAAGCGGCGGTTTGAAAAATAGGCCCAATAAGCATTATTAAGTTTGACATCAGTTTGAAGTTGAATGGTTGCTTTTCACTCTCATTAAGCATTATTAGGTCTGGACTAAGTGATATGGCTTCAACAATTGGAGTTTCCTGACAATAAGAACAAAGTTTAAATGTATATATATCCTCAACATGGTAAGATGCAATGCTTATTTGGAAAAAGAATTCAACAAAGTTCTAGAAGAATCTAGAGTATTTGCGATGGTAATGACGCCCAAGTTTCTAGTAAAATATCCAAGGTAATTGTAATAAAATAATAAAAATTACATAGACTTCCTAGCACAATAAAAAGAGTAGTGTTATTCTTAACACCTAGTTTTTATTTTTATTTTTAACAAACGATATTATCTACACTAAGGGGAGATAATAGGCTTAACCTTACAATGGGCTAGCAATAATATGGTTCAAATTCGCCTTTGGTGAGAATCAAACCTAAGACCTCTCACTTATAAGTGAAGAAGAATACCACTAAATAGTAGTACTAAGTGGCTCTTACCACCGAGTTGTACTATCACTTGTACCATATTTCTAATAAAGCGTATGACCCATCAACGCATGTGGGTTCCATCTCTATTAGAGAGATGGTACAAATGATAATATAAATAGATAATAAGAATAAAATTTTTGCAATAAAAATTCAATCAAATTATTTTTTAAGAATCTGATTTCTTTATTATAAATGAGTTTTACTTATCATCTAAAGTTTGCTATTTATTTATTCTTAAAAAAAGAAAAGAAAAGAAAACATTGAATGCATTTGGCTCTTACCGTGTTACTCTTCAGTACACGATAGATATCCTCATCCGTGAACAACCTACTCCGTTTACCAGGATCTTCAATACATTGTTCCTGAACAATTGTCCTTCCCATTGCTTGTAGCAAATCGTGCATCTCTATGACTTCCCCTCCCCATTTGTTTGAATCAACTGATATGAGAGACCTATCAATGAGAATTCTAATTCCGGATGTCGCAAAGAATCCACGAACGTCTAACATTCGTTTTACCTCATTCACTTTCTTCCCTTTATGAAAACATGCTATATCCAGAAAAATCTCCTTCTCATATTTTCCCAATCTATCATAACTTATTCTCAACACTTTCTGGATATCTTCACTGGGAGATTGTTTCAATTTGTTGAATTCATCTTCCCAATCTTCTTTGCTTCTACAATTGAAGAACAAGGACCCCAGAACTGTAAGAGCTAAAGGAACGCCTCTGGCATAATCCACGGTCTTTTTTGCCAACTCCTCATAATCTATTCTACGAGTAGTGTTATTCTTGAAAGCATGCAAACAGAAGAGCTGAAGAGCGTCATCCGATTTCAATACCTCAACCTCGTAGATATTCTCCTCTTCAACAGTTTGTCTAAGTGTGTCCTTATCTCTACTTGTGATAATGATTCTACTTCCAATGCCACACCACTGAAGATCACTAGCTAAACGTTGCATTTGCATTGGACCACTCACATCATCAAGAACAATGAGGACCTTTGTGCGGCTGAGCCTATTTCGAACACCAGTTGATCCTATGGATAGACCTTCTTCCTTGAAAATGCCGCTTAGAAGTTTCCTTTGCAGGCAATCTAGTCCATTTGGTTGTTCTGATTTCTCCCTGACATTTTTAAGAAAACAAGAAGCTTCGAATTTAGAAGAGAGTATGTGAAATACAGTTTCAGCAAGGGTGGTCTTGCCAATACCACCCATGCCCCAAATACCTACTATAGTGATGCAAGCGTCATTTGAGTCAATGCCCAGTCGTGATTCAATTTGCTGAATGCGGCTTTCAATTCCAACCAGGCCCTCTGAATCACATGATGATTCACAATTCAAGTTTGTCCAAATATGATCGACAACATTCTTAATTAGATCTGCTTCCGTCCTGGCGTATAAATATGAATGATTATGTAGAAAAAAACAATAGTTAGTCTTAAAGGCTGGTCGCAAAAGTTGTCACGTAAATAAAGAAATATACTAAAAGTTTTAACACCGTATATTTGTGCAAGAAAAGAAATCTTGTTTATTCTCTCCTCAAAATAAAATTAAAGCAATATTAAAATAGAAATACACTTGTTTTCAGGCAAACAACAATACAACTAAGTAAGCTTGCATATTAGAGCATTCAACCCACTATCTTTTTGAAGAAAATGAACTTGTCCCACTAATGAAATCGTTAACCCTAAAGAGAAATTAGATACGTTTAAATGAGCTACAACTAATTACATGCCTTGGCCAAGGAATAGGGCCGCCAATGGCAATTTCGTAATTACCCTAGTCTAAGTTTGGAGAGAGAGAGAGAGAGAGAGAGAGAGAGAGAGAGAGATAGAGTGGGGGGGGGGGGTGGATTGTAGCTAAGCTGGGATTTTGATTTATTTACAGAATTTCTATCCTTGTTAAAAAAATTCCTATTCGCGGGGGGAAGATTGGTGCGTTTGGGCCTAACGTGGGCTTTGTTCTGGGTGGTTAACAAGGAAGGCCTGATTCAATGTGTACATGATCGTAATGCCCATCCAGATTTTAGATCCAACGACCTGAGGTAAAAGGTCGGAGGACATTGGGGTAATTCTTATGGAGAGTTCCATGCTACTTCTACATGAGGCTTTCAACATTCTACCAGGGCGAATCATCAGAGCCATTTTTTAGGAGGTACTCATAGTGTATATATGCGCGAACCCCATACTTCTTCTGGAAGGTGTTCACAGAGTTATTTTAGAGGATCGAAAGACCAGCCACAGAAGACACTTCCATGGATTTGCGCTCACTGCGAATGCCGACACTATGATGCATGTAGAGATGGTTCTAAGACTTATTATCAGTGCGGGGAGACTGGTCACTTTTTACGAGGTTGCCTACATACTACTGCTAGATGAGTTGGCAAACCCACTGCTGATGTTGGGGGTTTAATAACATCTTCGGCGTAGAGTAGGCCTTCTTGAGCACCTTCGGCCTCGAGCCAGCAAAGGATTGGGCAATAAAAGATCGAATAGTAGAGCGACAAACAACTTGGAAAAGGTTCTTAGCAAGTGGGGGCCCATAGCAGTAGAACTGGGATGCCTCAAATGGGTTCTCAGCGAGTTGGCAGGGTTTGTGTACTATCCACTATGAAGGTGAGGTTGAGCCTAACATAGTCATATGTATTATTCATCTTGATTTGCTCCTTGCTAGGGCATTGTTTGATCTTGGAGCCGAGAATTCTTTTATATCAAGGACTTTTGTTTAGTCTTTGTGCATTTTACTCTCTTTTTTTGGGGCCTTATATTGTTGACCAAGTAGTTCGATCTTGTGAGGCTCGCATAGATCAAGGTGAGATGATAAACTAATGCGAGATATTATTGGCATTTATCGTGCGAATTTCGATTGTTTTGAGAAAGTGGTAACGTTTCGACCACCTGATAGACCTCAGTTTTAGTTTGCTAGAGTTCGTAAACCTATTCCACCACCAGTAATGGTATCAGTCACCAAGGCTAGACGACTCATGAGCCATGGATGTCAGGGTTATTTGGCTCATGTCATAACCATTGAGCAAAAAAATATTGAGATTAACGTTATTCCAGTTGTTAGAGAATTCCCTGATGTATTTCCTGTAGAGTTACATAGCTTGCCTTCAGTGAGGGAGATCAAGTTCAATATTGACCTTATGCCAAAGACAACACCTATTTCTAAGGCTCCGTATCATATGGCACATTTGGAACTTAGATAGCTCAAAACACAATTACAGAAGTTATTGGATAAAGGTTTAATTCGACCTAGTATTTCACCTTAGGGTGCTCTCGTTCTCTTTGTGAAGAAAAATGACAGATTTATACGTTTGTGCATCTATTATCGTGAGCTTAATAAGGTGACAATGCGAAATAAGTACCCTCTACCGAGGATTGATGACTTATTTGACCAGCTTCAAGGTGCTCAGTATTTTAGTATGCTAGATTTGATGACTGGTTATCATCAATTGAGGATCCGAGATGAGGACATAGCGAAGACAACTTTTCAAACTCACTATGGTCACTATGAGTTCTTGGTCTTGCCGTTTGGCCTGACAAATGCATCAATTGCATTCATAGATTTGATGAATCGGGTATTCCGACCATTCATTGATCAGTTCGTGGTGGTGTTCATTGATGATATCCTAATCTATTCACAGAGTGCAACTGAGGACAAGAAACATCCGACTTGTTCTGTAGACTATGAGAGATTGTCAACTGTAAGCTAAGTTTAGCAAGTGTGAGTTTTGGCTGGAGTGTGTTAAGTTCATTGGCCATGTGATCTAGCATGATGGTATCATGGTGGATCTTGCAAAGGTGGAGGCAGTTGTTGGTTGGAGTCAACCTACTACAGTGACTGAGATTCAAAGTTTTTTTGGCTTAGCTGGATATTAACAGAGATTCATTGAGGGTTTCTCAACATTGACATTTCCTTTGACGGGACTGACGAGGAAGGATACTTCGTTCATTTGGGATGACAAGTGAAAGGACATCTTTGAGGAGTTGAAAGGTAGACTTGTGTTTGAGCCTGTTCTTACCCTTCCATCTGGTTCTGGGGGTTTGTGGTATACACCGATGCATCTCGTAAGGGACTAGGTTGTGTTCTGAGGCAGCACGACATGGTAGTAGCCTATAGTTCTCGCCAGTTGAAGCCGTATGAACTTAACTATCCAAACCATGATTTGGAGCAAGCTGTTGTGGTTTATGCATTAAAGCTTTGGCGAAATTATCTTTATGGAGATTCTTGTGAGCCTCAAGTATATCTTCACTCCGCGGAAGCTAAACTTACAACATAGACATTGGTTAGACTTGGTGAAAGATTATGATTGTCAGTTTCTCTAGCAAGGCGAATATAGTTGTTGATGCTCTGAGTAAGAAGCAGTTTGCTAGTGTTGCAGCTTTATCACTTCAAGTTGGTTAGTTAGCGGAGGATCTGAGGAGGATGAAGATTCAGCCTATTGATCAGAACATTAGTGGCCCACAGGCTTACTTCAATCACTCCTTATTCTCGAGAGGAAGTGGGAGCACATTACTATGGATTTTATAACAGGCTTGCTGAAGACTCGAGATGGGCATGATTCCATTTGGGTTACTTTCTTGCCGTTAAGAAGACTTATACTCTGGAGTGACTTGCGAGACTCTTTTTAGATGTGATTGTGAAGTTACATACATTTCCAGTGTCTATCATTTATGATTGTGATCCTTGTTTCATTTCTTATTTTTGAAGTCGTCTTCATAATGTTATGGGGACTAAGTTAAATTTCAGCACAACTTTTCATCCTTAGACCGACGATCAGTTAGAGCGCACTATTCAGACCTTGAAGGATATGCTTCGAGCTTGTGTACTTGATTTGAAGGGTAGCTGGGATAGACATTTGTCGTTGGTTGAATTTGCGTATAATAATAGTTACCAAACGAGTATTCAGATGACACTTTACAAAGCACTTTACGGAAGGAGATGCATATCTTATTTGTATTGGGATGAGGTAGGTGAACATCGACTGTTGGGGCCAGAGTTAATGCGGTTTGCTGCAGAAAAGGTTGCTATGATCTGTGCAGGCTTATTAGCAACTCAGAGTCGACAACAAAGTTATGTTAACCTTCACATACATGAGGTGACATTCGAGGTTGGAGAATATGCTTTCTTACGAGTTTTTCCTATGAAAGGCGTCCTCAGGTTCGGGCGTAAAAGGAAGCTTAGTCCAAGGTATATTGGACCGTTTTAAGATCTTAAAGAGAGTTGACAAGGTTGCCTATCGTCTTGCATTACCGCCAGAGCTATCACACATTCATTTGATGTTTCACGTATCTTCGCTTTGGAAGTATCGAACTGATCCATCTCATGTCATTTCATATGGGCCTATTCAGGTTATAGAAAACCTTACTTATGACGGGTACCCCATTGAAATCCTCGATCGAAGAAAGAAAGCTCTCATCCCCAAGACTATTTCTTTAGTGCGTGTGTTATGGAACAATCATGACGTGGAGGAATTGACTTGGGAGACGAAGGACAAGATGCACCAACACTATCCACATATGTTTGACTCTGGTGCGTTGAGTTTAGGGGACTAAACTCTTTTTAAGAGGGAAGGATATGAAATCTAGTCCCTGGATTTTCATTATTAATTACGTATTTATTTACGTTATTTTTAATTTATTCTAATTATGTTAATTTTAGAATAGTTACAAGGTATAAATTTTCGTAATTAATCTTTTAAAATTCGTAGACCTTTCAAGGGCAAGTGTTTTCAAATAGAACTCAATTCCATGAGTGTGTAGGTGAAAGTTATTCGCGAATCGGAGTGATAACGAAGAAGTTACAGACGTTGGAAGTTCGATAAAAAAATATGTTTAATATATAATTAGAAGCTCCCATGAATTTGGGGCAGGTCCAATTAGAGAGAGAGTGATAATGAGGAAACCAATCAGAGAAGAGAGAAGACAACCCAATGCGACCTACTCCCCCCTCGCTACCCGACTCCTTACCCAAACCCTCTACAATTTCTGACATGATTTATGTCGATTTTTCTAGCTTTTCTCGACCTTCCATCACGACGTCAGTTTCCCTTCGGTTTCCTTTCAATCTCCACAAAAACTCGACGAGATTTGGCCTTAGTTTCGCGAAGAACTCCATCGACGGGTCCATGAGTATTCGACGACGATCGGCCGTTTCTGAAGCTTGTTCCTTCGACCAATGCCACCAGTAGACTCTCCTTGAACCCAGGAACAAGCCCAAACATTGGTTGGTGCGTTGAGGTTCAATTTGATAGCGATTCGAATAACACCCATTTAAGGTTTCGACGGTCTAGGGTGATTTCAGGCCACTTCTTGGCCGAATTGAACCCCAGTTCAGGCAACGATACTACATGACGTCTTGATATTCGTGCCAGGGTGCATTATATCAGAGATTTGGAGCGACTAGTTTACCGCTTTACCTTTCATTGTATTATCTCTTTTGGGACTTGTATTTTGAGCCTATAGGTATGTCTTGTCCCTAGTGAGGGTTGTGTATTTTGACAGTACAGATTTGTACGTGGGGTAGAGTCCACTATCATGTTTATTATGAGGTATTAGTTCTAATATTTCATTCATATCTTGTACGTATGTTACGCTGTCCTCTACGTCCTTGTGTCACGTGTCGATCCTAAACGTATGTCGAGATCGGGTATATATTTATACACACACACAGAGCCCAGACTCCTATGGGAGGCAGCAGTGGGGAATTTCCTACAATGGATGAAAGCTTGACGGACATTGCCACGTGGAGGTAGAAGGCCTACAGGTCGTGAACTTCTTTTCCTGGAGAAGAAGCAATGATGGTATATGGGGAATAAGCATCTGCTAACTATGTGTCAGCAACCTCGGTAATACAGAGGATGCAAGTGTTATCTAGAATGATTGGACATAAAGCGTCTGTAGGTGGTTTTTAAGTCCGCCGTCAAATCCCAGAGCTCAACCCTGGACGTATGTTGGGATTGCGTGTGTGTGTGTGAGTTCATATTCTTTTGGAAGTACTTACTCTAGAGTTGTAAATAGATTGGAGGCTAACTGAGTAAAGATTCTTGCGTTGTGTGTTTTGGTAGGCGTGAGATTTAATTTTAGTTCCGGGATTATACGGGTGGATCGAAATTGGAATTATCATATGCTGTTTGGTTGCTTGCTTTAAATATGATAAGGACAGTGTATCCGTAAATAGAATTGTAAATATGATTGCACATATATGCCGTGGCGAAGCTGTTAAGGTGCAGGGAGCCCCTCCTCTCACCGGAAAACATGCCCAGAAATCATGGCTTGCTGCCCCATAGCCCCTTTGGCCTCACCGGATTGCAGCTCACAATTGCTGCAGTTCTCCATGGGTGCGCAGAGAAGGGAAAACATTTTTTTTTTTTTAAAAAAAAAATTCCAAGCGGAAACGATGTCGTTTTGGTCCTGGAAAGTAAGTGAAACGGCGTTTTTTGGACAATTGGGCTTAATTTGAAAAAAAAAATATAAAAAATATTATGGGAGGACCCCTTGTCCCCGTCCCTAATTTCCAACCTGACAAATAAGATTTTCCAGCATCAAACCCGCGCCGTTCCGTTTGGCCCCTTCTTACTGGTATGTTGGCTTTTTGTTTAATTTTTCGTTGGGATTTAATTGCTATTATTTAAATTCGATTTGTGCTAATGGCCATTGAGTAATTTCTGGGATTGTTCAATGGTTTTGATGATTTGGTGGTGATTTTGGTGTGATTTCTGTGATTATTTATGTGGATCTGTAGATTTAAATGTGTTCTAGTATTTGCAATGAATCCATCTGCATTCTCCATTTGATCCTTCGAATTTAGAAAGTTTGGTCCTTTTATTAAGCTGTTGCGATTTTCGAAGTTTTATTTTCTTGGATACCATTTGAGTCAGTTGAAGGTAACTGGGAGCACCATTAAAATGTTGGAGAACAATGTAAATGTAGCATATGCTATAGCACCTTATGATTTAGTCTCTGGGTTTGTAGGTTGTGTTAAAACTTGAAGCATTTTTGGCAGACCCAGTGGCAATGGAACGGTACTATAAGAAACAGTGTATAAATCATCCTTCAAATATTCGGGGTAGTTCTTCTTCTAGTATTCCAAGTAGTTTTCCTATTATTCTAGGTGGTCCTTCTTCGAGTATAGTATAGAAAAAGATGTCGCATTTTGCCATTATTGTTATCTTTTCAACTTTGATTTTGATAAAGTGGGAAATGATGGAAGTGATACCTACACTGAGAAAGGGTTTAGGCATTGGAGGAAAGGATCAAAAAATTTTCGAAAATTTTCGTCCTTCGCCCCGTCAATTTCTGGATTTGCCACTGCATATATGTACAAATCGAGTTGAGTTGTTGTAAATATATGTAAATAGGGTTATTGTAAACAAGTTCGAAAAGCCGATTGAACTGCATACTACATCTATCTCTTATGCAAACATCTATCTCTTATGCAAAGACATTATATTTTGTGATTACACCTTCTATTAAAATGTTCTATTTTGTTTCATTATTTACATTACATATTCTTTTTTTTTATTTTTTATGTGATGTAAATGGCGAAGCTACATAGGGACGAGGGGACGGCTGCCCCTCCGCTCGCTGGAAAATAAGCCAAGGAGTGAGTCTTAAGCGCCTTTGCTTCGGCCAGAAACTGGAAAATACGATGGCCATTCTCACTCTCCATGCTGCTGCGCAGCTCCCCAGGGTTTTATTTTTTATTTTTAAACAACATCGTTTGGGCTTTGGGAATAAAAGAATTAAACGAAACGGTGCGTTTCGTATCAAAGGCAAACAAAGGATTGAGACAGCGGTGGGTGGAGTCCAAAGGCGGACAACACGCAGAACTCACCACCGTGAAAGTAAACCAAGATGGGGAGCTTTTAGGTTTTGTTTTGATGGATGTTTGGGAGGTAAAGGCGAGCCGAGATGTTGGGGTTGTCTGAGATGATGATGTCTTCAGAGGAAACACTAGTTTACGGATCTTGATCAGGAGATGGGGGCACGTATGAATCTAATTCCATGGGTCGCCGTTTAATTGTGCCATCATCATAGATTCTGAGGAAAGGTTGGTTTTAAAAGGTGAATTCAAAGGTGATGGAAGTCGTTATCCATTAGAGAAGATGGACAGATTATGAAGATGTGTGAAACTTGAGGGAGTGTATGTACCAATTAATACAGGGAGCGTTTTGCATTAACTTATTATAAAACAAGTAAAGAGAGATTGCATGTTTGACACTTGATTACCATGCAGTAACATCAAACAAATTAGCCACTAGGTGTCTTTCATCTAGCAATCACACCTATCACAACTTATATATATTTTTTTCTTTGGATTTGTATCACAAACAGTGACGTTTGACTAAGTTATCTTTTTGTATTTTTAGTAAAGAATTGTCAAACATCATTGCGCTAGGAAGTGAGAGAATAATAGTTGAGTGTTAGTTTGGTTGTTTATACTGGGAAAAAGGTTTACTTTTATTGATAATGACCTATTATGCTACGTTTTCATAACACATTAACAAATATAACTTGTTTGTATTAATAAATTATGAATGAGGTTAATATTATCTACTATTAAAAGAATTTGGTTGTCTACATTATTTTAAAATTTTTATCTTTTTATATTTGGTCCCTTCTCTCGATAATTTCTAACTTCGCCACTAGTGATGTTGTCCTCTAAATTACCAAAAAAAAAAAAAAAAAAAAAAGAAAAAAACCCACTCTTTTTTAGGATTTGATTTTAATTACATGACTAATTTTTCGATCCGCACCGCTTGGGCATGAAGTCTTGTTAAAACCAAAATCTCCCCTCAATTGCATTGTAGCAAATCTACAGTGCCTCACCCCTCACCAAGTTTAAAATAGAGTAATGCTTTACCAAATCTAATCAAATTGTCACAAGTTTAAAGAAAATTTATAATTTTATACAAGTTAAATAATGAGTTACTTACCAGTGATTGTTTGAATAATCAAACCCAGACCGATCGGCTACAGCCTTCAAAGCATCCCTCCACTTGTGCACCTTATCAATACTGTTCTTGAAACGTTTTTCAAGTTTAGCAAAGGCACCCGCATAACTCCCATGTTGTTTTCGTACATCAGATGGATTGATGTCGTAGAATACGGGTATAACCTTCTGGCCATATCTTTCCTCGCATTCGAGTATATGCACGAGTTCATCCAAACACCATGTGGAAGAAGCATAGTTTTGTGAGAAAATGATCACCGAATGCGTGGATTTCTCGATTGCCTCTAGAAGGGCAGGTCCGATTTCTTCTCCTTTCTGAAGTCTGTAATCTATGTAGGTTTCAATTTTCTTCTGAAGTAAGGCAGCATGAAGATGGCTGGTAATACCACGGCGGGTGTCCTCACCTCTGAAACTGATAAACACATCATACTTTTCCCGACGAGGGGGGATATTAGCTACAATACCATCATCATCATCATCTCCAGCAGCAGCAGATGGCGGAGAAGAAAATGTTAACCATCTGCAGCAAATCTGCAAGATCGTCATAATACACTCCATCTGTTTTTGTGTTTCTCTCAAGGAACTAACAATAGACCTGTAAATTGTGAGTAAAAAAGAAGAGAAAGAAGCAAGCGATTGATAATATATGAAAGAAAGAAAAAGGGATATTTAGGTTATTGAAAATTTTATGACGCTCAGGCTTTCTTAGAAAATCGTTAAAGAGAAGAAATAAAAAAACCCCAACTCAAGCACCTTTATCTTCCGCGTACAAAAATTCAACGCTTTCAAAGCCAAGACAACAGGTAAGGCCAAGGGCTGCCCGCTAGGGTTGATGAAACATTGATGGACATAATATTATTCAATTTATTGAGAAATTATGTAGTAGCTTCATGCTTAAACTTGCAATAAACAATCACCAACATCAGTGACGAGATGCCAGGACGCAACACATGGCTTTTGTTTTTTTCTCTGGAGCGATGCATACGGCTTTAGTATCTCAACAAATTCAATAATCACGAAAATGGGCCAGTAGCCGGCAACAGATTTCATAGCTCATGTTGAAATTTTATTTTTTTTCAGAGATCGTATTTACAAAGTAATTTATAATATATTGATCCTGATAATAAGCATTGAAATTTATATCATTCATGCAGTGTTTGAAGAAGGGTGTTCGTCTATACCCATGCTTCAAAAGTTTGAGCGAATCTCTTAATCAGTGGGCTACAATAAGTTAGTATGTAAAAGTCGGTCATAAAATTACGCACTTAATCACCTACAGATAAATTAATTGTTAAGGCCGAACAACATTTCGACAAATTAATTGATGTGGGCTAAGCAATAAGAAGTATATAATAATATTAATTGTGTCTTTCATGACAAAAATAATAGTACGCAACTATTTATTGATGTAATCACGAATTATATTTTAGTTAACTTGTGATTACTTTTGACCCAGAAAATGCAGTGGAGTTCGTCTGAGGCCGGCTGTGGTCGAAACTGGAAAGAAATTATTTGGCGGGGTGGTCCAAACTGGGGACAAATTAGTGGGTGAGAAATTTTTTTTTTTTTTGGGAAGAAGAGAGGGGGGGGGGGCGCGCCGGGTAAATAAGTAAAAAAAATGAGGAGAACAACATAGGCTTGACTCACAACGTTACACATCACAAACACACTCATGAAATACCAAAGTTAAATTCCAAAGTTTTAGCGTAGTTAACCATCGGGACGTCTCGATTGACTTTTTAGGATTGACCGTTGACTTTTTACGAAAATTTCCCTGGACTCTCTTTAGTGTATTTCGACTCTCTGATTTTAAATCCACACCCTGTTTTCCCAAATTCAAACATTTTAATCAAGTTTAACTAATGGGTCCAAATGTTGTACTTAGGTGCAATTACTATCGGAGACTTCGACTTTTCTAGTTCGAACGGCTATGTCTTCGCCGGTATCTGTGAGTGGGATTTTTCTTTTCTATAGTGTGTGTGTGTGTGTGTGTGTGTGTGTTTCCATTTACACATTTCATAAAGAGTTTTCTACAATATGCCTAGATTATCGTGACGTGTATAAGAATTAGCGTATTAACGGAAATTATGAAATTATACAACACCCTACGGGATGCACAGGTATGCGTAGTCTTATTTATGCCTTAAATTGAATTTACGGTAATGAATATCATTGTATTGATTAGAATTATCAAATTATCAATTTAATGTGGCATAATCATATTTACGTTATCTGCTAATTGTGTGTTGCACTGGTGTTAGTACTCGCTCGGGCCAGGGATAGTCTTTCACGTGTATGTTCACATTGCACCGCACGCTTGTTTTTTCTCTGGAGCGATGCATACGGCTTTAGTATCTCAACAAATTCAATAATCACGAAAATGGGCCAGTAGCCAACAACATATTTCATAGCTCATGTTGAATTTTTTTTTATTTTTTTATTTCCAGAGATAATATTTACGAAGTGATTTATAATATACTGATTCCGATAATAAGCATTGAAATTTGTATCATTCATGCAGTGTTTGAAGAAGGGTGTTTGTCTATACCCATGCTTCAAAAGTTTGAGCGAATCTCTTAATCAGTTGGCTACAATAAGTTAGTATCTAAAAGTCGGTCATAAAATTACGCACTTAATCACCTACAGATAAAATAATTGTTAAGGCCGAAGAACATTTTGACAAATTAATTGATGTGGGCTAAGCAATAAGGAGTATATAATAATATTAATTGTGTCTTTCATGACAAAAATAATAGTACGCAACTATTTATTGGTGTAATCACGAATTATATTTTAGTTAACTTGTGATTACTTTTGACCTAGAAAATGCGGTGGAATTGGTCTCAGGCCGGCTGTGGTCGAAACTGGAAAGAAATTATTTGGCGGGGTGGTCCAAACTGGGGACAAATTACTGAGGGAGAGTTTATTTATTATTTTTTTGGGGGGGTGGGGGGGGGGGGAATAAGTGAAAAAAATGAGGAGAACAACCTAGGCTTGACTCACAATGTTACACATTGCAAACACACTCATGGGGGCGGGGAAATAAGTAAAAAAAATGAGGAGATATTTATTATTTTTTTGGGGGGTTTTTTGTTTTTTTTTGGGGGGGGTGGGGAATAAGTAAAAAAAAATGAGGAGAACAACCTAGGCTTGACTCACAACGTTACACTTTGCAAACACACTCATGGGGGGCGGGGAAATAAGTAAAAAAAAATGAGGAGAACAACATAGGCTTGACTCACAACGTTACACATGGCAAACACACTCATGAAATACCAAAGTTAAATTCCAAAGTTTTAACGTAGTTGACCACTGTGACGTTTCGATTGACTTTTTAGGGTTGATCATTGGCTTTTTACAAAAATTTCCCTGGACTCTCTTTAGCGTATTTCGACTCTCTGATTTTAAAACCGCACCCCGTTTTCCCAAATTCAAACATTTAAATCAAGTTTTACTAACGGATCCCAATGTTGTACTTAGGTGCAATTACTATCGGAGACTTCAACTTTCCTAGTTTGAACGGCTATGTCTTCGCCGGTATCTGTGAGTGGGTGTTTTCTTTTCTATAGTGTGTGTGTGTGTGTGTGTGTGTGTGTGTGTGTGTGTGTGTATTTGTTAGTTTCCATTTACACATTTCATAAAGAGTTTTCTACAATATGCCTAAATTATCGTGACGTGTATAAGAATTAGCGTATTAACGGAAATTATGAAATTATACTACACCCTACGGGATGCACATGTATGTGTAGTCTTATTTATGCCTTAAATTGAATTTACGGTAATGAATATCATTGTATTGATTAGAATTATCAAATTATCAATTTACTGTGGCATAATCATATTTACGTTATTTGCTCATTGTGTGTTGCATTGGTGTTAGTACTCGCCTGGGTCAGGGCTAGTCTTTCACGTGTATGTTCATATTGCACCGCACACTCACTTTGGATCCATTGTAGGTGCCAGTCTTGTCCTAGACTGCTACAGGCAATTAGGAATCGTGTGTGATGCGTATAGCGCTAGTCTTCACGTGATTGTAGTACTAGAGCGTAAATCATTATTACACCTAATCATGTTCATGTCAGAATACATTTGCATGAACTCGTGTGGCAGCCTGTATCAATGAGCACTCGATGTGATATATTTACTTATGCAAGATTTGGTGATTTCCAGAAGTTATATGCTTCTTTGCGAATTTTAATGACATAATATTATTCAATTTATTGAGAAATTATGTAGCAGCTTCATGCTTCAACTTGCAATAAACAATCAC